GTAGTTACTTTTAAAAGATCAGGCTATATGAACCCTCATTATAGATTAACAACAACCAGATTTATTCAGAATAAGCATGCACCAATAAGGCATAATATTCCTCACTTGAATATTACTATTAACTTTTACTTTACCAAAATGTTATGATCTAATTATTTATCCACCTTTTCCCACAACCAATAATTCAAATTTCACTCTTTCCCTTAATCTCTTTATACACATTTCAAAATTTAATCAACAATCGCAGCATTGCTATTTCCGTCCGAAACACGTTACAATAACACTAAGAATTTCTATCTAATACTTCAACATTACAACCCGGTTGTTCAGTCTCCCCTCCAACCGGTTTTCTCTCCGGCTTGTACACACAAACACTATTTGTTCCCTGATAACTTGGGTTACACTTCCCCACTGTGTCCTACACAGGTCTTACCACAGGCACACTTCATCCTCATGAAACATTTCCGTAAATCACACATAATAAAACCGTCATTCCCTAAAATCCTATCCAATGACAAGGGAACATGTAATGGTGGACAGGGAGAGCTCGACGGCGCCAGCAAGGAACCTGAACACCCAGATGACAAGCGAAGCTCTCGTTAGATAATCTTTAAACACAACTCCTACTCTTCCTAGCATCATATGACATACTTTTAATTACTCGAGATGTTATAATTCATAGTATTTACTCCCAGAGCTAGCAATAATTCATAGGTCAACACAACATTACCTGAACACCCAGATGACAAGCGAAGCTCTGGTTCGCTTCGTCTCGCAACGCTCCTCCCCTTGATCAGCTCAACCTAAAAACTATGTTCCCAGCTGGCGTCATTCTTCTCTCTCCTGTCTCATTAACACAAAAATAATTTACAATATTATGTCTTCTTTGATAAATTGTAACTAATGAAATCATATGTAAAAAGGAGTCTTATACGCTATTATCAAATATTTAAGGAGCTCTGATTTATTACGAGGTGGATTCATGCACTTACATGATTTTGCCGCATATTTCAAAATATTAAATTTCCCATTTACCGTTAGAAATTACTGCCATAATAAGAGTTCATAAGATATCTATACCCTTCTTAAATCAAGACTCCTTCATTCATGTATATTTTCATCATACTATTTGACATATTTAGCATCATTCACTATACAACGAAAAAACACTACCCTTAACTCAGCTGAACACAACAAAGTTATACATGACTTTCTACATATATACATACATATACACACACACACACACACACACACACACACACATATATATATATATATATATATATATATATATATATATATATATATATATATATATATACATATAGTATATATATATATATATATAACATACATATGTACATACATATATACATACATATATACATACATATACATACATATATACATACATATATACACATATATACATATATACATATATACATACAAACATATATATACATACATACATATATATATACATACATATGTACATACATATATGCACACACATATATACATACATTACATACATATATACATACATATATACACATATATACATATATATACATATATATACATACTATATACATACATACATACATATATATACATATATATACATATACTATATATATATATACATATATATACATATATATATACATATATATAAACATATATATATACATAATATACATATATATAAACATATATATATACACACATATATACATATATACATATATACATATATGTACGTACATATATATATATATATATATATATATATATATATATATATATATATATATATATATATATATATATATATATATATATATACATATATATAATATATATACATACATATATATACATATATACATATATACATACATATATATACATATATACATACATATATAACATATATACATGCATATATACATTCATATATACGTACATATATACGTACTTATATATATGCATATATACATGCATATATACATACATATATACGTACATATAGATATAGATATATACATACATATATACATACATATATACATATATATACGTACATATATACATGCATATATACATACATATATAAATACATATATACGTACATATATATACATATATACGTACATATATACATGGATATATAAATATATACATCATATATACGTACATATATATACATCTATACGTACATATATATAACATATATACGTACATATATATACTACATATATACGTACATTATATATACTACATATATATGTGCATATATACATACATATATATACATACATAAGTACATATATTCATGCATATATACATACATATATACGTACATATATACATACATACGTACATATATAATATATACATATATACGTACATATATATACATACATATAACATATATACAGCATATATACATACATATATACGTACATATATTATACATACATATATACATATATACATGCATATATACATACATATACCACATATATATATACGTACATATATATGCATATATACGTACATATATATACATACATACGTACATATATACATCATACAACATATATATGTTACATATATATACATACATAGTACATATCTAGTACATATATATACATATATATGTATATATATACGTACATATCTACGTACATAAATATACATAATACGATAATATATACGTACATATCTACGTACATATATATACATACATACGCACATATCTTGTACATATAGTATACATATATACGTATATATATACGTAAGTACATATCTACGTATATATACGTACATATCTACGTATATATACGTACATAAATATACATATATACGTATATATATACGTACATATCTACGTACATATATATACATACATACGCACATATCTACGTACCATATATATACATTATATAATATATATATACGTACATATCTACGTATATATACGTACATATCTACGTATATATACGTACATATCTACGTACATAAATATACATATATACGTATATAATATGTAATATACTACCTACATATATAAACATATACGCACATATTACGTACATATATATACATATATACATATATATACGTTCATATCTACTTAACATATATATACATACATACGTACATATATACATGCATATATACATACATATATACGTACAATATATATAATATACATATGTACATATATACATACATATATATACATATATATATACGTACATATATATACATACTATACCATATCTACGTACATATATATACATATATATGTATATATATACGTACATACTATGTACATATATATACATATATACGTATATATATACGTACATATCTACGTACATATATATACATATATACATAATAAATATAGTACATATCTACGTACATATATTATACATATATACATATATATATACATATCTATGTACATATATATACATATATATACGTACATATATACATACATCTACTTACATATATAATACATATATACGTATATATATACATACATATCTACGTACATATATATTACATATATACAATATATATATACGTAACATATCTACGTACATATATATACAATATATACGTATATATATACGTACATATCTACGTACATATATATACATATATACGTATATATATACGTACATATCTATACATAATATATACATATATATTATATATATACGTATATATACGTATATATATAACATATATACATATATATACATATATATATATATATACGTACATATCTACGTACATATATATACATATATACGTATATATTATATCCATAATATACGTACGTACATATATATACATATATAATAATATATATATACGTACATATATACGTATATCATATATACGTACATATATACGTACATATAATACATATATACGTATATATATACGTACATATCTATGTACATATATATACATATATACGTACATATATACGTACATATATACGTACATATATACGTACATATATACATATATATACATATATACGTATATATACGTACATATATACGTACATATATACGTACATATATACGTACATATATACGTACATATATACGTACATATATACGTACATATATACGTACATATATACGTACATATATACTACATATATACGTACATATATATACATATACATATATACGTACATATATACATATATGTACATATATACGTACATATATACGTACATATATATGTACATATCTACGTACATATATATATATACATATTACGTACATATATATATACATATATATATATATATACGTACATATATACGCATATACATATATATATACGTACATATATACGTATATATACCATATATATACATACATATATACGTACATATATACGTACATATATACACATATATACATACATATATATACATATATATACATATATACGTATATATATACGTACATATATACATACATACATATATACGTACATATATATATATATACATAATATACATATATTACATACATATATATGTACATATATATATATCTATATATATACATATATATACGTACATATATATATACATATATACACATATATACGTACATTATATACATATATATATATATATCATATATATTATAATATATATATATTATACATATATATACATATGTATACATGTATATACATATATATTACATATATATATACATATATACATATATATACATACATATATATACATATGTATACATACATTATATACATATATATACATATATATACATATACATATATATACATATATATATAATACATATATATACATATATATACATATATATTACATATATATACATATATATACATATATATACATATATATACATATATATACATATATATACATATATATACACACATATATATACATATATATATACATATATATACATATATATACGTACATACATATATATACATACATACATATATATACATACATATATATACATACATATATATACATACATATACATACATATATATACATATATATATACATATTATATATACATACATATATATACATATATTTACATATATATACATATATAGATACATATATACATACATTTACATACATATATACATACATATATACATACATATATATACATATACAGACATATAAACATACATATATACATACACATATACATACATATATACATACACATATACATACATACACATATATACATATATATATATATATATACATACATATATATATACATACATATATATACAAATGGCTATCTGTTTATAATATAATGTGCGTACCCATAATTTAATTGATACATAAATTCCCATAAAATTCACGTAATTGCTCACCTTAAGGCTTCCCTCACTCTCCACACAGGTAAGCTCCTCGCAGCTGATTGGCCACGCGCGCCTTTCCTTGGTCGTCAACGCTACGACTCTTCGCTCAAGGGAAGTCTGCTCGACTGGACGAGAGACGAAGGGAGAGGGAAGGACCTGAGGCTCCTTCCCGGGTCCTGGGGATGGGGGAGGGCTGGCCCAGGGGTCTTCACTGCAGTCCAAAGTATCCCTTGGGATATTTACGCCTTGGGGTTTTATTTTATTTACTTCTTTTGAGAGCTGACCTTTGCCTAAAAAATGAAAATCCGGAAAAAAAACATACTGATAATATGAATTTCTGATTCATATTCAGTTAGTTGTTATTAATCTTCTATTCTATTGCTCTATATGCTCAGAGTAGAGAGGTTACAGAGCAACAGTTGACAGGGCTTGCTAAGCAGTTTCCATTAACGATGTGAATGGAAAGAAGGGCATGCAGTCCCTCTTAAGCATGCATATGGAAACCCACATTTTCTTTACTCTCCTTCATATCTATACTACTGCTACATTCCTTGGTGTCGATAAGATATGGAGAATTTTGTGAAGAGGTCAAAGGTCAAAAAGGATTGAGGGACCCTGGGTTAGCAAGACCGTATGCCTTAAGACTTGATCTGGATATCCCTTGGAGGGATCATGAAAAAATATTCTGTTTACATATGATATTGAGCAATATTAAATCAATGCGATGACAGGTCAGACAAGAATAGTGATAAAAAGAACGAGAAAAATACGAATTAATAATGATTCATTATAATAGAAAGGATCATGATAATAATGACAATAATAATATCAACAATAATGACAGTATTAATAGACATACAATCATACAATAATAATGAAAATATCAATGATACTGACAATAATATCAATAATAATATCAATAATAATGAAAATGGTAATATCAATAATAATGACAATAATAATAAAATAATAACAATAACGGCAAATGATAATCACAATAGTAACAATGATGGCAATATAACTGATGATTATTACTTTATTATTACTAATGATGATAATACCGAGAGTGATGTGAATACTATTGATGCTGTTGATAATAAAAAAGGATGATTTAGATTACTGTAATGATACTAATGTTAGTTATGATAATAATAATAATAGTTGTAGTAGCAATCGTTACAATAATAATGATGAAAATAATAACCATAAGAGTTATGATAATTATGAATATAATAGGAATTAGCACACACATGGTCAGTATAATAGTTTTGGCAAGTAGATATTCGTTAATTCCTCGTTCAAACGTATAATAAGTTTTATACTAATTGTTGCTGCCGTGTTGCTCCTACACTAAAGATCTATTACTTTTATCACTTTTGTTTTCATTATTATTATCATTATAAGTGCTATTATCAATGTTATAAGTACTATCATTATCTTACACACATACACAACCTATATATATATATATATATATATATATATATATATATATATATATATATATATATATATATATATATACATACATATATATATATATATATATATATATATATATATATATATATATATATATATATATATGTACATGATATATTTAATATTCATTTCCGTAAACGACCGTCAGCTTTTATCGACTAAACTTCAGAGCGACCTCGGCGTTTATCAACCCCTTTCAAAGAACAGGAGTTTATCGGCCCTTTGCAGAGTCGTACTGATCCCCAAGGGGTAACATCGGCCCCCTGGAGACCCCTGGAGACCCTTGGAGACCCCTGGGCTTTCCTCTCCTCATGCCCAAGACCCTCGAAGGAGACTCGGCTCCCTCACGCTGCCTTCGCCTCTCGGTCGGTCGCGCAGAGATCCCTGAAGCGAAGACTCTTAA